CCATCTTCTGTTCCTATTTTATAAGCTCTATTTTCTAATTTCTCTTGTATTATATAAGGTCCAATTCTCTTATCTTCAAATTTTGCTGAGCAAGAGTGTTCAATATCCTTTCGCTGTATTCAGACTTTTTTATCTATTTCAAAGTCTTCAAAATAAACTCGTTTGTCTACATATTCTTTCTGTTTTTTTTGTGATTTCTCTATATTATCTCTTGCATTTTGATGATATGAGAGTAATTTTTCTATTAGCTCATATGCTCATTATAGTATACTATCGCTTAGGTCTATTTCTTCATCTTCTACAGATTCTATGGGTAGAATTATTTCAATTGGTAGAGTTGCTTATCTACTATATACAAGTTAAAAGGGTATATATCCTGTTGTAGCATGTCTCTTAGTTCTATATGCTAACAATATAGCTAGTATATATAAATCCCATTCATCATTTCTTTTTACTTTAGCAAGAAATTTATATAAGGTTCTGTTAAGTCTTTCAACTATTCTATTTGTTTGAGAATGGTATGCTAATAAGAATTTGTATATAATTAAGAATTTTTCACATAAAATCCTAACTGTTTCACTTATAAAATTCCTTCCTTGGTTTGAGAGTATTATCTTGAGAATTCCATATTAATAGATAATTTCTTCAAATATAAACTTTGCGAGGATATTTGCTTCAGTATCAGGAACAGCTCTGGCTTCTGGCCATTTAGTTAAATAGTCTATTGCAACTATTATATATTGATTGTTTTAGATGGTAATAAGTAAAGGTCCTACTAGATCAATACTAATTCATTCAAAGGCTCTTTCTACTTGAATTGGGTGAAGTAGTTCTTTTCTTTTAGTTTTTAATCTCTTTTGGTATTCTGTATAAGAACATACATATGCTTGAATGTCTCTATATATTTGGTCCTAGTAATATCGTTCAGCAATCTTGTCATATATAGCATTCATTCCTAAATATCTACCAGTTAGATGGTTATGCATCATATATAGTATCAGCTCTACTTCAGTCTATTTAATCACTCGTATAAGGTTATTTCAGTCTTTTCTATTTCTTTTGTATAATAAGTTATGTTTTGTTTCAAAAAATCAGCTCTGGTTTATAATTCATTTTTGCTCTTCATTACTTAGATTACCTGGTAATTGCTCTGTTTCTAGATAATTATATAAATTCTGATATAAGTCTAAATTCATGAGTATGTTATAATTTCTTCTTATTTCAATCTCGAGAGGATATTTATATTTGAGTAAATTCTGCTTAGTTTATGAATAATCTCAAAGTTATAAAAGAAGGAATGAAAAAATTTATAAGTCTCAGCATACCAGAGACAGTATCTAGCAACCTAATAGCAATACCTAAATGGAAAAGTCAAGCAATCGAAAAGCCTCTAAGATCCTTCATAAATATTGTTACAGCAACAATATACGAAACGGAGTAGGCAAACTTAAGCAAAACAGCAGAAATTGTAGCTCACAACCTAAATTCTAACTCTGATACAGAGCTGAATTAGAAAATTACATGGGATTTGTTCAAAGAAATGCAGGGCAAAAAATGTATTAGCTTGAAAAAGAGCAAATCCCTTATGTTTCGTATAAAATGCATTAACAAGATTTTACCTACAAAGGATGTTTGCTTTCAAAGAAATCCTAAGCTTTACAAAAGTCAAAGATGCATAGTATGTTTCTGTAAAGATGAAACCTTTTACCATCTGGCAGAATGTGAAATGTACCAAGGAATCTGGAGAAAACTTGAAAAAGAAGCTATACAGCTAACAGGCCTAGAAATTTCGACAAAATTAGACCTGTTATTAAACGAGATTTCTCTTGAAAAAACAATATATGGTACCAAGTTAGAGGAAAAAATAAACAACAGAAAGATGTATCTAAGAGGACTTACAAGCATTAAGCAGCTCACAAGCTTAAGCAAAGTAACTCAGTCAAGAAAGAAAGCAAGCAGAATCTTAGTCAGCTTTGTAAAACACTTTTGGGAGTGTTTTTTCGAACGTCTGTAGAAATTCTGGTGTGAAATCATGATCAAGTAGGAAAAAGAGAACCAAATCTCGACTAAGGACAAAAAGAAAAAATGAAGTAAAAAGGGAAACGAGAACAAAGAAAACGTCTAACCTAGTAATACAGAAAAGGAAGGAATAAAAGAGAAAGAAGAGAGATTACAGAAAGAAGCATTAGAAAGGGTTGACATGTAGGTAAGAACTGGGAAAAAAGAAGAATGGTTAAAAATTAAAACAAAATAAGGCAGTTTTGATATAAGCTGGTAGCAGCCTCTCATAGACCAGAAGCCTAGAGTCTGTACCTGCAGACTAAAGTCTTTGCGAGAGAAATTGTTGCTATAGCAGATCACACTTGGGTACCTTAAGGCAGCCAAGTGAGTTCGGAATGGTTGAAGGAGGGTACTTTATTATACTTTAGATAGTAATTTACTTTGTAGCACATATAAGCTTTTCCTTAATAAAATGATGGGCAAGATCGCCAAAAAAATAAAAAAATAAAAAAATAAATAAATTAAAAAAACTAATTTATTTAAGAATTAATCTATTTGTAGCCATAGATTATATATAGCTATAACTAAGATCAAGTATAATATGAATTTTTTTTTTTTTTTATATTTACAACAAGATCTTTATGCCAGTTAATTTTTATTAAATTGTTTGTACGTTTACATTAGTTAGTGAAAGTACAATTAGTCACGCATACAATTTTTAATCATTATCTATTTAAAAGTTCTGCCTGAAGGTTATCTACCAATTGCTATACCTAGTATTCTCTTGTAGATACTCTATTTTAAACTCTCTAGTATCCTCATCATCCCTAACGTTTAATCTAATTTGTTTTTAAACCTGCACAATCTTGTGCTACCTCATAGAGGACTACCTAGACTGACTTTGTACTTCAAATTCTCTTATTAGGAGGGCCCTATCTCAAAATACCCTTTTGTCCTCATCAGAAGGGGCCTGCAGAATACCTCAACTATGCTATGCTATATCCTAATTAAGCTAGCATATACCCTTATAGATGTTTGTATAAACCCAGTTCCTTCTATGGCTCTCACCAGATATAGTCCTCTGAGATTTCTAATGTTTCATAAAGTAGATCCTCTTAATCTAGTTAGCTGCTAAGCTAAGTTGGTGTTGCTACTAATACAAGGCACTAGGTTGTATTATACAGTGAACTTACTTACATCTATCAATCTCATATCTTCCGTACTTAGGTTTTTTACTGAATTAAGTGTTAACCAGATTGACTGTTGAAATCTGTACTACTTTATCTAATTTGGGATTTCTACTATACAGGTCCTCTGCTCATAGATCTTATTAAGATTTATTCATACAACATAACTCGAGTATTGTATCACACTTCTAATATCTGATTGATATTAGTACAACATGATTTACAAGATTATAACCTCCAAAAACAGACAAGGTTTACTATAAGTTAGATACAAAGGTCTGAGTAATTATTCAAACTTATCGACAGTGGGATTTGAACCCCAAATCTCTTACATAGTAGTTCGACAACCTAACTACTATACTAAGATCACTAGATCTTATAATATGATTATAAAATAGTTGTTTTTATAAATAAAACTCATAATTAAGATTAGAGTTAGAGTGAAATTTAGAATTTTATCTAGGTATCAGTATATGGGGAAGTCTTTAGCAAAAGGTGGCTTCAGGATAGCTAATTATATTTTGAGATTTTTTAGTAATTACTTGCCTAATAGTCTTATTTTTATGAAAGTAGATTTGTTTTTCTCAATTATATAATAAGAGTCCGGTGATCTAGTGTAGTGGATAGGTTGTCAGACTGCCATGCAAGAGGTTTAGGATTCAATTCCTACTGTCAACAGAATTAAATAATTACCTAGACATCTGTACTCAACTTACAATAAACTCTGTTCGTTTCTGGGGTTGTAATTCTGTAAATCACATTGCACTAATATTGTTCAAATATTAGAAGTATGCTAAAATGTTGGAGTTGTATTACATAAATAAATCAAAATAGAATCTATAAGCAGAGGATCTGCATGGTAGAAATCCTGAGTTAGATAAAGTAGTACAGATTTCAACAGTCATACTAGTTAATACTTGATCTAGCAAAAATTTCTGAATATGAATCGAGTGGGTACGAGTAAGTTCGCAATGTAATACAGCCTGGTGCCTTGCATTTAGCAGCTACACTAACTTGGCTTAGCAGCTAACTAGATTAGGAGGATCTACCTCATGAAATATTTGGAAGTCTAAACTAGTGAAAGGCTACAGCTAGAACTGTGTTTGTATAAACATCGAATAAGGGTATATACAAGCTAGATTGAAATATAGCATAGTATAGTTAGATATCGTGATATCAATCTGTTAAAGGGTGTTGAAGTAGGATTTATCTGGGTAAGACCTAGGCCTATAACAATAAAGTTTGTGACTAATGTCAACTTGGGTGCTTCTCAAAGTAAAGTAGCATGAGGTTATGGTTAATTTTAAAGAGTAATATTTGTGATAGGTGAGATAGGATCAGAGAGTTTAAATAGGGAATCTTCTAAGAAATTTCAGATATAGCAGCTAGTGTAGAACCTTTAGGTAGACTATTTAAAATAAACAATCTAAAATTGCACATGTAGCTAGTTATACTCTCACAATATGTATTACTCCCGAAATATATAAAATTAATAAAATTTAGCCAATAGCATTTGTATAAAGTAAAAAAAAAAAAAAAAAAAAAAAAAAAAAAATTATATAATAAATAATTCATTTATAGTAGCAGTAACTGCTTTTAATATTTATCATAATAGTAATAGTTAAGATTAGCAATTTGATATATATATTAGAGGCAGTTTAGCTATTATAATCAAGATTTAGTTATAGTTGTGAATAGCTATTTTAAATTATAAAACAGTGTTACTGTTATGAATATAAATGATATTCTATTAAACCAGATTTCAATCAAGATAATTAAATAGATAATTATAATTAATTAATTTAAAAGGTTTGTAGATATTAAAACTCTAATTGTTAGTCTGATTTTGTTATATAGAAAGCCTGTTCAATTAAGTATTTAGAAAATTATTAGTATTATAAATATATTACTGCTTTATTTTATTTATTTATTTATTGTTTTGAGCTGATAACTATATCTCAATTTAGAATTTTTTATTCTGACAAAATTATAGAATATAACATACGTTCTAACAATAATGAAGCAAATGAAATTATTTTAGAATCTTTAAGAGATTTAAACAACATTTTTTTTGTTGAGCATTCAGAATTAAAAAATGAAAAAGATGATGAGAAATTAAGTGATGAAAAGTTAACTAACGATGAATTAGATAAAGAATTAAACAATGAAAAACTGAACGATGAATTACCTAATATTGATGATGATAATATTAATTTGAATAGGTTGAATGAATTAGAGTTTGTAGATATTTCTGATAATGATATTGAAGATAAAATCTATAATGAATTAAAATTAGAAATTAATAAATTTTTTGAAAAAAAAAGCTTATATTGTTCTATTAAACAACTCTGTTTTGAAAAAATTGGCTATAATCAGTTTCTTAAATATCGAGCAGAATTTGAAAGCCTAGATAAAAAAATATAAGATATGGTTATTAAAAGACATTTATTAGCTTTTCAAAAAGAAGAAAATATAAAAAAAGTAACTAGTAATAGTAGACAGTATTGGTGTTATAATTATTGTTATAATAATAATATTTTAATTTGTCATGACACTTATTTAGCTCTTGTTGGAGTTAGTCATAAATATCTAGAGAATATTGCTTAGCATTTTCATGAACATAGTCTTGAAGAATATGTATATAGTAATACTAGCAAAGTTCTAAAAAATATGAATTGCATTGAAGTAAATTATGATATAGTGTGTAATATATTTAAATTTTTAAAAAATTATTCTAATATACATGGTATGCCTTTACTCAGATAATATTTTAATAAAATCACTATACCTATTATGTTTCTTTT